CTTGGGATTCATGTGCAGAACGTGAAGTTTTCTTTCATAGGTATGCACGTGCCATGGTGGTTTGCTGCATCCATCAACTGTCATCTACACGAGGTATTTTTCCTAATGCTATCCCTCCCCTAGCCCGTCATCCCCTGACAGATGCTGGTGTGTGACGTTGCCCTCCCTATGTCCATGTGTTTTCATTGTTTGACTCCCACTTACGAGTGAGAACATGCAGTGTTTGGTTTCCTGTTCCTGTGTTATTTTGCTGAGAATGATGGTTTCCAGCTTCATCCATGTCCCTGAAAAGGACATGAATTCATCCTTTTTATGGTTGCATAGTATGCCATGTGTATATATGCTAAGTTTTCTTTATTCACTCTATCATTGATGCGCATCTGGGTTGGTTCCAAGTCTGTACTATTGTGAATAGTGCTGCAATAAACATACATGTGCATGTGTCTTTATAGTAGAATGATTTATAATCCTTTGGGTATATACCCACTAATGGGATGGCTGGGTCAAATGGTATTTCTGGTTCTAGATCCTTGAGGAATCACCACACTGTCTTCCACAATGGTTGAACTAATTTACACTTCCACCAACAGTGTAAAATGTTCTTATTTCTCCACATCCTCTCCAGAATCTGTTGTTTGTTTTTCCATCGTAAATTGTTTAAGCACCTTGTAGATTCTGGATATTAGACCTTTGTCATATAGATAGATTGCAAAAATTTTCTCCCATTCTGTAGGTTGTTTGCTCACTCTGATAATATTTTCTTTTGCTGAGCAGAAGTTCTTTACTTTAATTAGATCCTATTTGTCAATTTTGGCATTTGTTGCAATTGCTTTTCGTGTTTTAGTCATTAAGTCTTTGCCCATGCCTATGTTCTGAATGGTATTGCCTAGGTTTTCTTCTAGGGTTTGTTGTTGTTGTTGTTGTCGTTTGTTGTTTGTTTTGTTTTTTTGAGATGAAGTCTCTCTCTGTTGCCCAGGCTGGAGTACAGTGGCATGATCTTAACTCACTGCAACCTCCGCCTCCTGGGTTCAAGCAATTCTCCTGCCTCAGCCTCCCAAGTAGCTGGGACTACAGGTTTGCACCACCATGCCCAGCTAAGTTTTGTATTTTTAGTAGAGATGAGGTTTCACCATATTGGCCAGGCTAGTCTCAAGCTCCTGACCTCGTGATCTACTCACCTTGGCCTCCCAAAATGCTGGGATTACAGCACTTCTAGGGTTTTCATAGTTTTAGGTTTTACGTGTAAGTCTTTAATATATCTTGAGTTAATTTTTGTATAAGGTGTAAGGAAGGGGTCCAATTTCTGTTTGCTGCATATGGCTAGCCACTTTTTCCAGCACCATTTATTAAATAGGAAATCCTTTCCCCATTGCTTGTTTTTGTCAGGTTTGTCAAAGATCAAATGGTTGTAGATATGTGGTGTTATTTCTGAGGCCTCTATTCTCTTACATTGGTCTATATATGTGTTTTGGTATCAGTACCATGCTATTTTGGTTACTGTAGCCTTGTAGTGTAATTTGAAGTAAGGTAGCATGATACCTCCAGCTTTGTTCTTTTTGCTTAGAATTGTCTTGGCCATACAGGCTCTTTTTGGGTTCCATATATTTAAAGTAGTTTTTTCTAGCAATGTGAAGAAAGTCTATGGTAGCTTGATGGGAATAGCATTGAATCTATGAATTACCTTGTGTAATATGGCTATTTTCACAATATTGATTCTTCCTACCCATGAGTATGGAATTTTTTCCATTTATTTGTGTTTTCTCTTATTTCATTGAGCACTGGTTTGTCATTCTCTTTGAAGAGGTCCTTCATATCCTTTGTAAGTTTTATCCCTAGATATTTTATATTTTTGTAGCAATTGTGACTGGGAGTTCACTCATGATTTGGCTCTTCATTTGTCTATTATTGGTGTATATGAATGCTTGTGATATTTACACATTGATTTTATATCCTGAGACTTTGCTGAAGTCGTTTATCAGCTTAAGGAGATTTGGGGCTGTGATGATGGGGTTTTCTAAATATACATTCATGACATTGCAAATAGAGACAATTTGACTTCCTCTTTTCCTATCTGAATATGCTTTATTTCTTTCCCTTGCCTGATTGTTCTGGCTAGAACTTCAAATATTATGTTGAATAGGAGTGGTGAGAGAGGGCAACCTTGTCTTGTGCCAGTTTTCAAAGGGAATACTTCTAGCTTTTGCCCATTCAGTATGATATTGGCTGTGGGTTTGTCATAAATAGCTCTTGTTAGTTTGAGATATGTTCCATCAATACCTAGTTTATTGAGAGTTTTTAGGGTAAAGGAGTGTTGAATTTCATCAAGGCATTTTCTGCATCTATTGAGATAATCATGTGGATTTTGTCATTGGTTCTGTTTCTGTGATGAATTACATTTATTGATTTGCTTATGTTGAACCAGGCTTGCATCCCAGGGATGTAGCATACTTGATCATTGTGGATAAGCTTTTTGATGTGTTGCTGGATTTGGCTTGCTAGTATTTTACTGAGGATTTCTCATCAATGTTCATCAGCAATATCGGTCTGAAATTTTCTTTTTTTGTTGCATCTCTGACAGATTTTGTAATTGGGATGATGCTGGCCTCATAAAATGAGTTAGAGAGGAGTCCCTCTTTTTCTATTGTTTGGAATAGTTTCAGAAAGAATGGTACCAGCTCCACTCCTCTTTGTTACTCTGGTAAAATTCGGCTGTGAATCCATCTTGTCTTGGGCTTTTTTAGGCTGGTAGGTTATTATAACTGCCTCAATTTCAGAACTTGTAATTGGTCTATTCAGGCATTCAATATCTTCCTGGTTTAGTCTTGGGTGGGTGTATATGTCCAGGAATTTATCAATTTCTTCTAGATTTTCTAGATTATTTGAGTATAGGTGTTTATAGTATTCTCTGATGGTAGTTTCTATTTCCATGGGATCTGTGGGATATCCCCTTTATCATTTTCATTGTGTCTATTTGATTCTTGTCTCTTTTCTTCTTTATTAGTCTGGCTAACTGTCTATATATTTTGTTAATCTTTTCAAAAAACTAAAGAGCTTCTGCAGAGCAAAAGAAACTATCATCAGAGTAAAAAGGCAACCTACAAAATTGGAGAATAATTTTGCAATCTATCCATCTGACAAAGGACTGATATCCAGAATCTACAAGGAACTTAAACAAATTTACAAGAAAGAAACAAACGACCCCATCAAAAAGTGGGCAAAGGATATAAACAGACATTTCTCAAAAGAAGACACTTACGCAAACAACAAACATATGAAAAAAAGCTCATCACTGATCATTAGAAAAATGCAAATCAGAACAACAATAAGATATCATCTCATGCCAGTTAGAATGGCAATCATTTAAAAGTCAGGAAACAACTAATGCTGGAGAGGATGTGGAGAAATAGGAATGCGTTTACACTGTTGGTGGGAGTGTAATGATCTAGAACTAGCAATATCATTTGACCCAGTCACCTCATTACTGGGTATATATACAAAGGATTATAAATCATTCTACTATAAAGACACATGCACGGGTATGTTAACTGCAGCACTATTTACAATAGCAAAGACTTGGAACCAACCCAAATGCCCGTCAACGATAGAATAAATAAAGAAAATGTGACACATATACACCATGAAATACTATGCAGCCTAAAAAAGAATGAGTTCATGTCCTTTTCAGGAGCATGGACGAAGCCGGAATCCATCATTCTCAGCAAACTAACCTAGGAACAGATATGCAAATACCACATGTTCTCGCTTATAAGTGGGAGTTGAGCAATGAGAATGCATGGATATTGGGAGTGGGATGTCACACACTGGGCCCTGTCAGGGGGTGGGAGGCAAGGGGAGGGATAGCATTAAGTCAAATACCTAATACATGCGGGGCTTAAAACCTTGACGGTGGCTTGATGGGTACAGCAAACCATCATGGCACATGTATACCTATGTAACAAACCTCCACATTCTGCACATACATCCCAGAACTTAAATTATAATTTAAAAAATCTCAACATTCCTGATTATTAGAAAAAATGGAAGTCAAAACCACATCATGATACCATCTCCCACCAGTCAGAATGACTCTCATTAAAGTCAAAAAATAACAGGTGCTGGCAAGGTTATGGAGAAAAAAGATTGCTTATATACTGTTGGCTGCAGTTTAAGTTAGTTTAATCATTGTGTAACAATCTGATGAAGACCTAAAAATAGAACTGCCATTCAACCCAGCAATGTCATTACCAGGTACGTACCCAAAGAAATATGAATTATTCTATTGTAAAGACACATGCATATGTATGTTCATTGCAACACTGTTCACAATAGCAAAAATATGAATTCAACCTAAATATCCATTGATGATGGACTGGATAAAGAAAATGTGGTACATATACAGCATGAAATATTATGCAACCATTAAAAAATAAAATTATGTTCTTTGCAGTAACATGGATAGAACTGAAGGCCATTATCCTTAGCAAACTAATGCAGGAACAGAAACTCAAATACCACATGTTCTCACTTATAAGTGGGAGCTAAATGTTGAGAATGTATGGACACATAGAGTGGAGCAACAAACACTGGGGCCTACCCGAGGGTAAAGAGTGAGAAGAGGGAGGAAGATAAGGAAAAATAAATAATAGGTACTAGGCTTAGTACCTAGGTGATAAAATAATTTGTACAACAAACTCTCAGGACACACATTTACCTATATAAAAAGTCTGCACATGACCCCTAAACTTAAAAGTTAAAAAAATTATAGCAGTGAATGTAAATGGCCTAAACCCTCTAAACATAAGACATAGAGTGTCTCAATAAATTAAAAAAGCAAGACATATTTATCTGTTGCCTACAAGAAACACATTTCACCTATAAAGACACACATACACTGAAAATAAAGGTAGGGAAAAAGATATTCTATGCTAATGGAAACAAAAAAATGCATGATTAATTATAGTTATGTCAGACAAAATAGATTTTAATACAAACAGTATAACAAGAGACCAAGAAGGTTACTATCTAATGATAAAGGGTTTATCTTAGCAAGAGGACATAACAATTTTAAATATATATGCACCCAGTGGTGGAACAGCAAAATATATAAAGCAAATATTATCAGCACTAAAGAGAGAGATAGGCCCCAATACAATACAATAATACCTGGAAACTTCAAAACCCCACATTCAGCATTGGACAGATCTTCCAGAGAAAAACTTAAGAAATATCAGAATAAATCTATACTTAAACCACATGAATCTAATAGATATTTACATAATACTTCATCCAAAGACTGCAAAATACACATTCTTTTCCACAGCATATGGATCATTCTCAAGGATTGGCCACATGCTAGTTCACAAAAGAAGTCTTAAAACATTGAAAAAAAATGAAATAATATAAAGAATATTCTCTAACCAGGATGGAACACAGCTGGAAATTAATCACAAGAGGAATATTGTAAACTATACAAATACATAGAAAATAAACAATATCTTCTGAATGACCAGTGGGTCAATGAAAATAAAAATCAAATTGAAAATTTCTTGAAATAAATAATAGAGAAAACACAACATACCAAAATTTATGAGCTACAACCGAAGCAGTACTAAGAGAGATGTTTATAGCTGTATGCGCCTAAATCAAAAAAAGAGGAAACTCTTCAAATAAACAAGCTAATGATGCATCTTAAAGAACTAGAAAAGCAAGAGCAAAGTTAACTCAAAATTAGTAGAAGAAAAGACGTAAGGAAGATCGGGGAAGAAATAAATAAAATTGAAAGAAAAAACAATACAAAAGATAAATGAAGCAAAAGTTGTTTTTTTGAGAATTTAGTAAAAATTGACAAACTTTTAGCCAGACTGTATTGGTTCTCACATTGCTATAAAGAAATGCCTGCAACTGGCAAATTTATCAGGAAAAGAAGTTTAATCGGCTTATGGCTCCACAGGATGTATAGGAAACATAATGCTGGCATCTGCTCAGCTTTTGGGGAGGTCTCAGGAAACTTACAATCATGGCAGAACGTGAAGGGGAAAAAAGCCAATCTTACCTGGCTTGAGTAAGAGGGTTGGAGTTGCCACACACTTTTTAAAAATCAGATCTTGAGAGAACTCTATTTTGAGAGCAGCACCAAAGGAAGAAATCAGCACCTGTGATCCAATTACCTTCAACCAGGCCCCACCTCCAACATTGGGATTACAAATTCACATGAGATTTGGATGGGGACACAGATCCAAACCATACCACAGACGAACTAACAAAAAAGAGACGAGATCCAAATAAATAAAATCAGATATAAGAAAGGAGACATTACAACTGATAGTGCAGAAATTCAGAGGATCATTAGTGGCTACCATGAGCAACTATATGCCAATAAATTAGAAAATCTAGAAGAAATGGACAGATTCCTAGATATGTACAATCTACTAATATTGAACCAGGAAGAAATTTAAAACCTGAGCAGACAAATTACAAATAACAAGATCGAAGTTAAAAGTCTTTGAGTAAAGAAAAGTCTAGTACATCATGACTTCACTGTCAAATTCTACCACCCCACATTTAAGTAAAAACTAATAGTAATCCTACTAAAACAATTCCAAAAAATAGTGTAGGAGGAAATAATCCAAAACTTGTTTTACAAGGCCAGTATTACCCTAATACCAAAACCAGATACAGACACATTAAAAAAAAAAAAAAAAAAAAAAAACTACAGGCTTATATCTGTTCTGAATATTGATGCAAAAATTTGCAACACAATACTAGCAAACTAAATTCATCAATACATTAAAAAGAGTATTCATCATGACCAAGTAAGATTTATCCCTGGGATGCAAGAATGGTTTAACATACCCAAATCAATGTGATACATAATGCTAACACAATGAAGAATGAAAACCATATAAATTTTTTAATTGATGATGGGAAAATATTTGATAAAAATTCAATATCATTTCATGGTTAAAAAAAAAACCCTCAAGAAATAGGTATAGAAGGAACCTAACAACATAATAAAATCATTTATGACACACCCACAGCCAGTATCATACAGAATCGGGAAAAACTGAAAGCCTTTTCTCTAAGATCTGGAACAAGATGAGGATGCCCAATTTCATAATGGTTATTCGACATAGAACTGGAAGTCCTAGCAATTAGACAAGAGAAAAAATAAAGATCATCCAAATTGGAACGGAAGAAGTCAAATTATCCTTGTTTGCAGATGACATAGTCTTATATTTTGTAAAACTAAAGACTTGTTTATCAGAACAATGTGTTTATTAGAACTCATAAACAAATGTGGTACAGTTGCAGGATAGAAAATCAACATAAAAAGGTCAGTAGCATTTTTGTATTTCAATAGTCCATGTCTGAAAAAGAAATCAAAAAAGTAATTCCATTTACAATAGCCATAAGTAAAATTAAATACCTAGAAATGAACTTAACCAAAGAAGTGAAAGATCTCTTTAATGAAAACTATAAAACACTGATTAAAGAAATTAAAGAGGACACCAAAAATGAAAAAGTATTTCATGTTTATGGATTGGAAGAATCAATATTTCTAAAATGTCCATACTGCCCAAAGCTATCTACAGATTCAATGCAATCCCTATCAAACTACCAATGACATACCTCATAGAAATAGAAAAAACAATCCTAAAATTTATATGGAACCACAGAAGACCCAGAATAGCCAAAGCTATCATAAGCAAAAAGAACATACCTGGAGGAATCCCACTTCCATACTTCAAATTATATTATACTACAGAGATATAGTAATGCAAACAGCATGGTACTGGCATAGAAACAGATTCATAGACGAATGAAACAGAATAGAGAACCCACAAAAAATTCCACACACCTACAATGAACTCATTTTGACAAAGGCAACAAGAACATACAGTGGGGAAATGACAGTCTCTTCCATAAATGGTGTGGGAAAACTGGATATTCATATACAGAAGAACTAAACTAAATTTCTATCTCTTGCCATATAAAAAATCCAACCAAAATGGATTAAAGACTTAAATCTAAGAACTCACACTATGAAACTATTACAATAAAACTTTGGAGAACCTCTCCAGGTCATTGGTCTGAGCAAAAATTTCTTGAGTAATACCCCACAAGTACAGGCAACCATAGCAAAAATGGACAAATGGGATCATATGAAGTCAAAAAGCTTCTGCACAGCCAAAAAAAAAAAAAAAAAAAAAAAAAATTACCAAAAAAGGGAAGAGGTATCGCACAGAATAGGAGCAAATATTCGCAAACTCCCCATCTGACAAGGAATTAATCACCAGAATATATAAGGAGCTCAAACAACTCTACAGGAAAAAAATCTAATAATTCTATCAAAAAATAGTCAAAAAAAATTGAATAGACATTTCTCCAAAAAAGACATAAAATGGCTAGCAAGCATATGAAAAGGTGCTTAACATCACTAACCATTAGAGAAATGCAAATCAAAACTACAATGAGATATTATCTCATCCCAGGGAAAATGACTTATACCCAAAGACAGCCAATAGGAATGCAGTGAGGATGTGGAGAAAGGGGAACCCTCATCCACTGTTGATGGGAATGTAACCTCTATGTAAAACAGTCTGGATGGTCCTCAAAAAACTAAAAATAGTTATCATATGATCCAACAAGCTGAATATTGGGTATATATACCCCAAAAAGAAAATCAGCATATTGAAGAGATAAATATATTCACATGCTTATTTCAGTACTTTTCGTAGTAACTTTGATTTGGAGGCAACCTAAGTGTCCATCAACAGATGAATGGATAAAGAATATGTACATATATACAACAGAGTAGTACTCAGCCATAAAAATGACATCCTATGGAGACAGCAAACCACCACGGCATGTGTGTACCTATGCAACAATCCTGCAAGATCTGCACATGTACCCTAGAACTTAAAATACAATAAAAGAAAAAAAAAGATAAAAAATAAATAAAAATTCAAAAATGACATCCTGTCATTTTTATGAATACTGATACTGTTCTCTGAGAAAAATGCTAAATGAACACCAGTTTGGGGGTATAGTTTTGGATATGCTAAGTTTGAAGTTTCTGTGGAACATCAAGGCAGAGGAAAGCCCTGGAAATAAGATGAAATTTGGCATCATCCACGAACAGATGATACAGTGGTTGAAGGCATTGAAGAATATGATGGAGAAGTGGAAAATATCTAGATTTACATGAGAAGCCAATCAAAGCAGAAAATATTGGTAACACCAACATGTAATAGACAGATGAAGAAAAAAAAATCTAGTCACAGAAGTCAAAGAACTGAGAGAGATTAATATTGTTGAAACCAAGAAAGACTTTCCAGATGAGAGTAATAAAGAGTGTTAAATATTGCCAAAGGTCAAGTCATTTACCCCACTTGAGGAAGAGAGGTCAGTTGATCAGGTTTAATTATTCATTGGTGCCTCTAGAGAGAATGGTTTCAGTAAAGATAAAAGCAGACATCATGTTGCAGTGGATTAATAACAAGTCACAGAGAAAGAAATAGAACTATTGAGGGCAAAGTGCTCTTTCAAGTTGTTAAGCTGTAGAGAAAATTAAGGAACTATGGTTATAGCTTGAGGGAGAGGAACTCTTGAGGGTAGGTATTTTTTTTAAGATGCAGAAGATTTGATCATGTTTATAGGCAAATGAGGAAAAGCTAGTGGGAAAGGAGGTGTTAAAGACATATAACTAGGTGGGGAGGCATAATTGATGGAGTAGTGACTCTGTGAAAGAAAATCACTAGTGGAATGATTTGTCTTGGAAAAGGTAAGGACATCTGCTTCTCTAAGTCAAGAGAAAAGAACATAAATACAGGAAGGTTAGTTCAAGGCACTTCAAAATGGCTTTTAATTTCTCTGTAAAGGAAGCAAGATGATATACTGCGATGTGTATATTTAGGAACTTTGAGAAGAGTGGAAGTAATTGCTGTGGTAAACATTCATGACAAATGAAGAAAAAGGAAGCAATTGCAAAAAAGCAAAAGTTTGGTTAGTAATTTTGAGAGCACATGGGAAGTTGAAAATCTTAACCTTGGAAAGGATGGCCATCAATGTGCTTATGCAATTTTCTGCAGTAGCACTCTGCAATCCAGAATTAAAAGTAAATAAGTGGATCTTTATATTTATTTGATATAGGAAAATTGCAGAGCAGGGGAAATAATAGGTGAGGGCATAACATATGAGTGATAATTATGCCCCAGATTCACACTGAACAACGTGAAACCAGCAAGGGCTGAGAGAAGAGGGACTTTGAGAATAGAGAAATGTCAAGGATTAGCAATTTTCAATGATATTAAAGAACAAATTTAGTGAGAGTAAGGAAATTTGAGAGGAGGAATATTAAGGTGTTTTGATCAGAGAGTGGAATATTGGAATTAAAGTTTCTGGAGGTAAAATAGTTCCGTAAGATGACAAGATGTAGGATGCCGTTATTTAGTTGCTAACGTGGAGTGGAGGTGATATTTATTGGAGTTGAATGAGCTCAAGAAATTAATTGTAAGCCTATGTTGCTGAAGTTACCTGGTGAATTAGTCAAGGTAATTAAGGCTAGCTATAGCAACAAATAAACTCAACTGATTAATATGCAAAAGTTTGTTTTAACTCATGCATAATCAGGCTCAACTGGGTAGGGGTGGTCATTCATCCAGTAACTTTTGATCCAAGTTTCTTTCATCTTGAAATTCTAGTAATTCAACAAATAGTTTCCAAGGTATCGGCAGCAGGAGAACAGGAGACATGGAATAAATATACTGACTTTTAACTGCTTCAGTTTGGAAGTAATACATGACATTTCAGCTCACAGTTCACTGGTCAGCACAATTTAAATGGTCCCATTCTAATTGCAAGGACAGCTAGGAAATATAAGGCAATCAGTGAACTATTTGGTGAGTGCTGTCTTTGCCACATTCCAGCAGGACTTGGGGTAGTGAGCAGCATTGTGAGTCAAGTGTCAAGGTTCTGGATTAATATGTATATGGTCCGCCTTAGAAGGAAGAAGAAGCAACTGAAAAGATGGGGAGGTGGTATATCCAGAATGGTTTTAAAAGATAAAACAGTTTTGAGTTAGGGTTAAAGAAATATGATCTAGAAATTTCTATGGGGAATTTAAGAAAATGCTATTCTGTGTCCAGGTCCCACACTCTGGGTAGGGAAATAGTGTGGAATATGGCTGGAAATGTGAATTGGGACCATACTGTGGGCAGAATTGAAACCAGATTAAATCTGTTGGCCTTTATCCTGGAAACAAAAGAATAAAATGACATGACAAAAGTGCATTGTAGGAAAATTATTTTGGCAATGGCATTCAAAATGCATTGAAGGGGGTAGATACTGGAGGTGAGAAAAGAACTAAGAGGTATGAGCTGCTGGGAGCCTGACTAATGGTAGTCACAGTGGGAATCCAATGTCACATGCAGGGGACACTAAGGGAGAAAATTCAGCAAGCTTTTATAACCAATAGTTGCTGCATATTTTATATGCCTCCAGCATAAATTCACAGAAGGACCAGACAGGCTTTGGAATGGGATGGGAAACAAAAGAGAGATAGATGAGGTACGCCTAGAAGAGCTAACAAGAATGATTAAAGGTGAAGGAAAGAAAGAAAGAGTCCGCAGAAAAGGACCAATGGACTCCGGCCACACATGGCCTATAAGCTGGGAGGCAAAAGGCAGTGGTGATTAGCAGCAGCTGAAGTCCACACATGGGGTCTTCTGGCATCTAAGACAGAGGTTGGAAACCTTTCGGCTTCCCAAGTCAGCATTTATTCACTCTTAATTTCAGGATTTATATGCCAATAATATATTTTCCACTCAGAAACTTTCTGTACATCTAAAATCTTATTGCATCTAAAATTTTTTTTAGGTTTAAAGATTAAGAAGCTGCATTTAAAATAAAATTATAAAGTGGATTTAATGAGATTCACTTATACTTTTTCTGTTTTGACCTTTTTCATGTACCCCAAGTTCCTGTGTATATTTGTATACTCAAAGCTATGGAGATATCTATCTCCAACTATTTGTATCCCAGCCTCACTCTTGCTAGCTCAAGAACTCTTATTACCACCTGATGATTACAGCCCAAGTAGCCTTAGATAGAGCAAAAGCAGACCAGAGCCCACTCTCCGCTGAGTCTGAAGCTACTTGGCCAGAGACATAAATGGTAGAGGAAAGTTCAGAGCGTTGTGGGAACACAAAGCAGGGAGTTCTGAAATGATTTTTTGATACAGGAAAAGGCCTCCATGAGATGTGAAATGTAAGTAAGATATAGTGTGGAAGCTGAGAGCTGAAAAAAATACATGATGTGTTTTAAAAACTGAACAAAATTCAGAGTAACTGGAATATAGAGAACTGGAGGAGAGCGATGTTAAGTGAGGCTGGAAAGGTGGGCAAGACTCAGAGCTTGAGAGGGAAGGCATAAAGAAAACATTCTTCTTAATGGTGTAAAATGCAAGCAAAACACTTTAAGTTATATATTATTTGGGGCAATAATAAACCAAACACTGTTTTAAGGGTTTTTTTTTCCCAGGTATTAGCTCTTTTAGTTCTTATTCCTACTCTATGAGATAGATGGTATCACTATTCCCATTCTGTAAATGAGAAAACTGGAGCAAGAAGGTCACTTGCCCAAGATAATACTGCAGGAGAACTAGGACTGAGTTTCAAGGTGTCTGGCTCCAAAATTTTTGCTCTTGAGCAATCCACATTATATTGCCTTATGCCAGTATAATGTGTCTTCTTGGGACAAAAAAACAAGCTTTTCTTTATGTTAATAATTTAGAGACAAAAAATAAATTTCAGTATAAAGCCACTGGACCCCTGAATACTCC